ACTATATATAAAGTGTTTTTCCCACGGCACACCTTACACTATGTCACGGCACACTAGTGTGCCGCGGCACAGTGGTTGAAAAACACTGGTGTAGTCCACCTTTTGCCCTCAATGTGGTTGGGATGTGGGGTTTTTTTAAAAAAATTGAAGTGTGTACCACCGTGCTAGTTCCCTGCATGTTTTGTTTCCAACCCAACATTGAGCTTCTATGGGTGAGGAGACGGTTTCCGTGTCCTGTTTCTTGCTGACCGCTGTCTATGGCCATCGAATCCTCTCTTCTGACTGACCCTTTCTCCAGCAGTGGCTACATCAGCTCTGCACGTGGGTAATAGCTGTGCCATGGCTGCCCTCTGCTTGCCCATGGGCCACATTTGTCCCCTCCCCTGTTCACATACTGACTTGACTCCACAAGTGGCAGGAATCCCCCCAGGTGTTTACTTCCCATGTGCCAGCTGCCTCTGCTCTGCACAGGGAGGAAGCGACGTTGGGCCAGTCACTGTCAGCCTGACCCACTTCACAGGGTTGTAGGAAAAGAAGCAGGAAGGATTATTAGGTTTGCCACATTTATGAACATAAGAACAGGATGTGAATAAAATCGAAGAAGTGGTGGGTGGGAATGATGCAAGCAGCGTGTACAACACCCTGCAGTGCAGTCCAGCCCAGCCCTGGCTTCTTAGTATTTTATTATACAGGTATGTTGAAAGGAAAATCCATCTGGTTCAGTTCCAAGCTGGAAATAAAATGGAGGCTGATTGGAAAGAAAGTCCATTTATTGATGAACGGAACAACAGGGTTTGGTGTTCTGGGGCAGCGGATAAAATGGTTGAATGGATCTTTATAGTTACTGCAACTTTGGGGTTTGGGCAATTGGAGTTTTGGGTTCTGAAAAGGGGTTGGGTCATTCTCATTGGGGCCGATGGCGATGTCCCGTGTTAGGTTTTTGGGTGAGGGGCTGCTTGTTCTTATGCTTTTGATAGCGGTCGAAATTGCTGTGAGGGGTTTTGAAACAGCCTGTCTTGAATGGAGCCCTCTAGTAGTTGCTTCCTCCTTCAATAAGCACGCGATCTCCTTAAGTGCTGGCATCCACTGTGGGCTATTAAGAAAGACGGGGCTGCTTTCTGCCTCTAGAACACGCCCCTCCACTTCTTGGGGGAAAGATAATATTTTGCCCCTTTTAATATTCCCCAAAATATTCCATTCTTCGAGGGGGGTGGGGGCTTCCCACAGGTGGCTGGAGAGGCAAAAACCGACGCCGTCTTTCTCTTGGGGTCTCTCGCAACCCATTGGGCTCTGCAATCCGAGGATCCTTGTTTTCGACGCAAAGGCCGCATCCAAAAGAGAGACGCCCCCGCGAAAGGCTCTGGCCGAGGGGCTGGGCAAGAATGGCAACATTGTAGCTCGGCTTGTAACAATAGCGGCCGCCTGGCCGGCTTCACTCCGAGAAGGCTGCAGGCGAGTGGCGGATGGGGCCAGATTCACACGTGACGAGGCTCCCCGCAGAGGGACGGCGGTACCGACCCCTCCCTCTCGCCGCGAGGCCTGCCGGGAGGAGGAGCCCCCCACCCTTGGCGCAAAGGGCGCATGCGTACAGGGTCAAGATGGCGGCGCGAGTGCTGCTCCGCGCCGTGGCCAGGGTCCGTGTCCAGCGCCGCCCGCTCGTCCCGCGGCTGGGCGCGTCGGGGACGCAGGGGGTCGGGCGGGGCCTGGCAGGGGCGGCCCGGGCCGGGCTGCAGCTGCCGGCTCCGGCCCAGCGGCCTGCCTGGGTCCGCTGCTACTCGGACGCGCCGACGCTGACCTTGAAGAGCATCCACGACCAGGTGCTCTACGTGCTGAAGCTCTACGACAAGATCGACCCCGAGAAGGTGGGGAAGGGGCGCGGGGGGAGGGGGCGCGGGGATGGGAGGGGCGGTGAGGACGGGCAGCCCCTCTGACCCGCCCGGTGGTCGCTTTGCAGCTGACGGCGGAGTCGCACTTCATGAAGGACCTGGGGCTGGACAGCCTGGACCAGGTGGAGATCATCATGGCCATGGAGGACGAGTTCGGTAAGCCCCCTCCGCCCCCGCCCCCCTCCTTTCCCGGGTCTCCCCAAGGCAGCCCAGCCGGCGAAGGTCATTGCGGCGTCCGCTTCCCAGCCGCGCCCCGAGGTCGGATCGGGAGGCAGGATTTTGGGTGCTGGCCCTGTTGAATTTCCCGCCTTGGGGAGGGCCTCGGCAGCCCCCGGGTCTCTGCCCAGGAAAGGGCTTGCAACAACTGACTGACCGGGGCTTCAAGCTTCTGTATCCGCCTGCCCTGTTTGCCAGCGTCTTAGTCTGATTATGGGACCCATTGCACAGATGTAGAAAATGGGATGCAGGCGGCATTGAGGTTTGTGCCAAAGATCTTGGGGTGGGGGGTCCAGGAGAGAGACTGTTGTTTGGTGGGTGTAAGGCCCTGCCTCTTCTCTCTGCTCAAGAAAGGATCCTTGGCATTTAGAAACTTTTATTGAGAGAAAAGTGATAGCAAGACAAAGAAAGCAAGATCTGAAGGTTAAAGCGGTTAGAAACCCCTCCCCTCAGTTTGAGTGTTGAATAATAAACCAATCCGCAGGTGCGAAGTTGTTTTGAGAATCTGAGCAGGCTGAGGCAGCTTGCTGGAGCCTCAGGAGCCAAAACAAAAGAGATGGCCCTCCCCCCCTTTACCTTCCCAGGAAGGTAAGTCAAAGTACAGGATAGATAGGCACCAGGAAAAAGGTTATAAACTGAGGAATGCCCCAGGCCCCCTTCCCCACCAGAATGGCAGTGCTCTGGGACCTGGCTGGGTTTGGGCTTTGAGTTCTACAGTATTCTCCCCATGGAGGGATGGGCCTGACATCTCTCCTCCCCCTGAGGCCGTGGAATTGGCCTTGGACCCTGTGGGGTTTGTTGGGCAGAGGGCTGGAGCCTTCAGGTCAAGATTGTGGTTCCTGGTCTCACTGACTGAAACTTGGGCATCTCTGAACTTAAAGGAGCCAAATCTTTTCCAGGGTTTGAAATTCCAGACGCGGCAGCAGAAAAGCTGATGAGTCCTCAAGATATCATGGATTATATTGCTGATACGCAAGACGTGTATGAATGAGCTGCTCAAGTGGAGTAAGTGGACACTGTTTTGCGATGCTGTTGTCTAGTGAAGTCGGCAAGAAGGGATTGAACCAGGGAGGAGGTCCCATCATGGGAGACTTATGTGTGAGACCATGGTGATGGTAGTTTGTTGGCCTGCATTTCAGTCTAGGAAGGTGGGTTGCTTGCTGGGAGGAGAGAGAATTTGCATTGGGAGCAAAACCGCTCCTGGTCAGCATCCTTGGACAGAGTGTGAGAAAGGATTCCTGCAATGAGAGGAGGTTAGACTAGATCAGGGGTGTCAAACTCAATTTCATTGAGGACCGCATCAGGGTGGTGTTTGATGCTTGATCTGGGGAAGGGGATTGGGGAGTGTGGCGGGGGGGAGCCCTCTGCAGCCTCCTGCAGCTCTCTGCCAGCAGAAAGGAAGCGTAGCCACCCCAAGCTCCATTTTTGCTGGCAGAGGCACCGAGACCAGTCCTTTGCTGTTTCCAGTTTGACAAGAGCCCTGGCCTAGGTGATCTCTAGCTTGCTTTCCAAGTTTACATTTTATGATTTCATGATAACGATATATTGGAAAATTGGATGGGAAGGAGGGAGCAAACAAGAGCAGCAGTAGGGGCAGGAAAGCAGAGAGGCTCGGACGGTGAAATCTGTTTTTTTCTTCTCAAACACTGAGCATGTCAGAAACAGGAAAATTAGCGCTTGCAATTTCATGATCAGGTTGAAACCTCCGTGCCCAGGGTGTTCCCGGGATGGATTGTGGAATGCTAGTGTGAGCTGAAAGAAGTCAAATCAGAGATGGCAGAGAATTCCTACAAAGCTGCAGGCTGCCCGGCAAGGAGAACAGGCACTGGCCCAGAGCACCTACAAGGCTGAGGTTCACCAGGGCATGATAGGGGGCTGCTGTGCCTTTTACAAGCAAAAACCTCCTTGTCTGTCTGTGTTTGATGAGGCAGAAAGACATTCTTGCTTTGGCTGATGAATGCTGGGATGTGGGAGCCTCCATTCATCATGGCAGCAAAATGTGGAGGAAGCCGCATGTCCTGCCTTGGGACAGCACAGCTTTGGTTGGCTTACTTTTATGTTCAAAAGGGCAGCTTGATGATCATAAATTATTTCTTTTAATTTCTGTAGCTGCCCACCCTAACCAAGTGATTCTGGGTGGCGAACAATTCTAAAACAAAACATTTAAAAACAGTATTAAAATGCATATATTCTGTAGCTGAGAAAAGTATCATAATTGTCAGGATAGCCAAGAAACTGGACTCTTTGTATATGGAACTCCAGGCCTGGGCACATAGCTGGGTTTTTAAAACCTCATGAAAGGCCAACAGGATTGTGCTCAGTCTGATCCCTGGAAGGAGGAGAATGTTCCAGAAGGCAGAGGCTACAGCAGAGAAGGCGCCTCTCCTCCTCCTCCCCACCAGCCAACATTCCTTGGCTAATGGGACCCTCGGCTTCCCCATCCTGCTGGATCGAATTGGGCAGATAGAAAGGACTGGGCTAAGATGGTCCCTCAGATAACCTGGCCCCAAGCCATGGACAGCTTCAACGGTGACAATTTGTTTCCTTGGGAAAGCCCGCGTGGCTTAATAACCCTAATCCTTGAATTGCTCCCAGAAACACAGTGGCAGCTCGTGAAGTAGCGGTTCCATGCGTTGAATATCCAACATCATTTACTATCCCTACAGCTGCGTTCTGTACCCGTCGAAGCTTCCGAATGCTCTTCAAGGGTAGCCCCATGTAGAACACATTGCAGTAGTCCAGCCCGAAGGGCATAAGTGACTGAGCAGAGCCTCTCAGTCCAGGAACAGGTGCAACTGATGCACAACCTGAAGGTGTGCAAAGGCCCTCCTGACCACGCCTGGCACCTGCTCTTCTAGCGGGAGACGTGAACCCAAGGCCACCCCAGAATTGCCCCCTGGGTCTGTCTGTGCGTGTTCAGTTGGCCAGGCCCTCTCCCGGGAGTGGAGAACCACACAATGATTCAGATGCATTTGGTTTGACTCCCTAAAGAGGCTCATTGGGACCCTTGCCCTCTGGATCAAAATAGTGGTCTTACCAAGTGATCTTTGTCAAATTGAATCTGCCTCTACTGGAATAGGTGCCTTTGGGCTATTCTGTTCTGCGAGCACCTATTCCAGCACTGAGAAGTTCCCTGAGGATGGGCTCCAGCAGGAGTCCAAAAGCTCAGAAGAGTAAATCTCTGGTCCCGGTGACCGGCCCTGATTCCATCTTGCAACATGATCCTGGGACGTGTTTGTCTTCCATGTGTGATCTTTCATTGCTTGGGGAGCCAATAAGAACTGGCTGCTCTTGAGGGAGATTAACTTCTTTCTGGTGACCCTATGCAAACTACAGGTATTCTCTCTCCCTGCCATGCCCACAGGTATCCCTTCCCTCTTTTGTTTCGAGAGCTGGACGAAGAGATCGAGATGGAGGCGCCTGGCAAGCCACCCCCTTTGCTGTTTGGAATCCCTGTGGCTCTCAAGAGTTTTCTTTGTCCTATTTAAAGTTGTAAATGTTGGCCTTCAGAATAAATATGAAAAATTCTTATGCCTTTCGTTTCACTGTCGCTGTTTTAATACTATGTTCCTCAAGACTTCCCCTCCGATTTGCACCATCCCTGCCTCACCATTTGTAGGTCTGGAGTGCAGGAGGTTCTGATTGCAGCTCATGGCTTTGCTGCCGCAGGTCTGGCTGCACAAGAACCGCAGCTAATGGGCAGCTGGTTGGTTCTAGATTCCTGTGAGCTTTTCAGAATAACTGTAGCACGACTGCTTGCTGCAGTGGTGCAACTCTGAACCCTGGGCGCACCCTCTGTCCATTGGGCAGCAAGGCCTGTGTGCACAATGGCATTTGGGTGAGAAATAAACCTGACTCTCCTCTGCTTTATGCAGCCGTGTTTGTAGGATACATTTACCCAAATTGGTGGGTTAGGAGATTGGGACACAGAGTTCATACAATGCACAACTTGTGCAAGCAGCCTGTGTAGGGAGGTCCTTCAGGGCTTGGCTCCTCCTTTCATGCAGTTGGGCAGAAGAAGAGCCAGATGTTTATTAAGTAACTTGCTTGAACCCAAACAAGTGGGGTAGTTCAGTCATTAATGGATGAGGGTGTAAGCAGTTCTTAAAGCCAGATAACTAGTTGCATCATCCTGATCAAAAGCCAGTAGATTCTCCATCCTCCAGGTCGTGGCTGTCCCAGAGGTGCTTTTTCAGGAGGCAACTGGACTTCCTTATATTTTCTTTGAAGACATTTCGCTTCTCATCCAGAGCTGAAGCAGCTTCTTGGATGAGAAGCAAAAACCTTTGGGACATCACTACCATCACCACCACCACAAGGGTTCTTGGCAGTTGGCAAGAAAGATCCATGAGGAAGAACAAAAACAAACAAGTGACAGTCAGCAAACCCAGGTCCAAAGGCCCTCCGATGGACAGTGGCAGTCAGCAGGGCTCCCCTGGGAGGCCATTCCAAAGAGCCTGCACAGCTACTGGGGACTAGAACCAAGCCTTGCCCCCCTCCCTTGCTCCCTTAAAGGGGGAGGTAGGATAGGGGAGTCACAGCAGTCCACTAAGCGGGCAACTCGGGCAGCGAGGCTTTCCATCAGGGCAAAGATAGGTCCTGCTTTCCACCTATGGTGCAGCCGCCATCATCCCACACTCAGCCAGTAGCGACTAGCAGGAATGAGGATTCCCTGCTTCAGAGGCACCATGTTGCAAAACGTTGCCACGAAGCAGGGTGTATCGTGCACGGCTCCTCAGCGAAGGGCAGGGCGAGAGTTCCTGCACCTACAAATGAAGCCAAGGCCAGTCCTGCAGGAATAATTTATATGGTGGGGTTTTTTTTAACTTCCATTGGGGGAGGGCTTTTGAGGGATGGGTCTTTTCCATCTCCTCTTTTAGAGACCAACACCCAGAAGTCTCGCTTTGAGAAAACAGAACCAGTGAAATCAAAACAAGGGGGGCAGGCTGACCACCCCCACCTAGACAATTGGCTCACCCTGAAAATTTGTAGAATCAGATGCCTTGAAGGGACCAGAGGAATCCTCTCCAACATTGGGGGAGCCATTTTCAGCCTCTATCAGCTGGTCAGCCAGCTTCCTCTTCTACAATGGCTAATATTAAAAACTGCCACAGGCCCTGGGCGTTCTCTCTGCTACTCAGGTCCTACAAACTTTGTCATCAGTTTTTCCGGAGGGAGCCCAGAGGCCAATTCTAATTTTATGTCAAAGTTACTGGAAGGCCCATAATTGTTAAGCACTTCAAAAATTCGTAGGAAATAGTCCTGTTGATATCATGCAAGGTTGAATGACCTGCATGAACACAGGAATCATCTACTTTGTTAAATAAATCAAGCCTGAGAAAGAAACTGTGTTTTTTGGGAGATGTAACTGTACAGAACTGACAGTACTTTGAAAACATTAAACTACTCTGGGGCATCCGTGCTGCCTGCACAGCGAAGAAGCTAATGGGCCTCTCCAGGTAAACCCGATGCCTGCAGGTGGGGAAGACTGCAGATTCTGCTGGAGAGAAAATCAGAGACATCCAACACAACGGATAAGCAGCCCCCAAAGTCATGATTTATTAATATCTGGAGAAGCATCATAATTTGAACACAACCCAAAATGTACATTTTACAATCACACACTATTTGTAAACAGTTAAAAAGCCACTGACAACTTTTGCATCTTCAGACACAACAGTTAGAATCAAGGCAATGAAATGAGAGCATCTTTCGGCACAGTTAAAAGGTTCTTTTTTTTATCCTTGTTTAGTATTTCATTCTCCGACTAAACAAGCATCAGATAATACCATTTGTGGCAAAAAAGGAAGATGAGTTTAACACTTTCACAAGAAAAGTATTTGCAGGAACTTTTAAACATTTAAAATTTATACAACAAAGTTCTGTAATTCCAAATCCTTGGTTACAGTCTGCATAGTTACTTCAGCTTTAAGGTTAAACATGAAACACAGTCACAAGAGCAAGAAAAGCATCAATGGCACAAGGGGGGTGG